TAAAATAAGTCGTGACTAATATTCTCCCTCTAAGCTTCCTTTCTTTAACATTTATTTTCATCAGCTAATCACCAACACCAGCAAATGACCAGAGGACTATACTACGAACAAAATTCCATTATGCACTCGGCTCGACTAAACCTAAAATTGTCTGTGCGGCCTAAATCCTAAGCGTGAAAACCCGGTGACCAACTACAAGAAACATCAAACGGGGTATCAAACAATTATTTCTCCCACTGTAACAGTAAAATGCAACATTGTTTCAAAAAAGACAAGACATTAATGCTCCGGAAAATTGTTAATCGTGGGATTTATCGCACAGCGCGGTAAAATAAACATTTTAATTAAAGTGAATGATTATATCGGCGAGTGTGCTCTCAGCGCTGCTGTTTGTTTCTAAGGTGACGCCTGCACACATTCGACTTCTGGAACTTTAAACTGAACACATCTAATGTCACGGTCCTGCAGCTTAATAAGGGAGACGAGGAAATTGATTCAGTCTGTCGGCAGATAAAAGTGAAATAGATTTTAATTATTGAGCAGGTATTCTTGGTGTGTGTTTTGTGTTCTAATAGCTGTAATTCCAGCAGCATTAAAGAGACTTAGCAGCAGATTAGAATTTTCAGCATCATCAAATTGATAAATCTTTACCTTCGTGACATCACAAAGGACAGATTGTGCTTCATTCACTGGGTTTAGTGAGGTAGTAAAACATATTCCCCTAGCAGAGAATCTAAACTGCACTTAAGGATCGTAGAAAAAGAGTCATTTCGTCTTATGTTAAACCCAGAACATGACCTACTCCTGACCAGATGACGCATTCGGCACACATGACCATAGTGTGTTATTCAAGTTTCAGGTTATTCAGGTAGTTTTTCTGCTGTGATGTGATGCCACCATGATTCGTTTCTCTTGCTGCTCTAAAAGTACAGGTAGACTTTCATGACACTATGTGTAACTTTCTTTGACGGCATGCGTTATTGTTACAGAGGTGCCATGAAAATTAGCAAAAAAGTTCACTTCTCACTTCCAGCACAGACGGTATAAAACATGTGCATAGCCTCTGACTCTGAATAATGAAGCCAGTGCAGAAGACCCTTAGGCCTGCATTCTAATGGCCAGTAGGGGGTGACTCACCTCTTTGCAAAAAGACTGAGTCCTAGAAAACTCTACAGGAAAACCTCCCTCGACCTGTGCAAACCATCCATCCATCCATCTTCATCCGCTTTATCCGGGGCCGGGTCGCGGGGGCAGCAGCCTAAGCAAA